TTTTTTTTTCAATATTACTGATAATTTGTTCTGATCCACACAGTCAAATGCCCTTGCATAGTCAATAAAACACAGTAAGCATCCTTCTGGTATTCAGTGCTTTTAGCCAAGATCCATTTGACCTCAATGATATCCCTTGTTCCATGTCCTCTTCCGAATGCAGTTTGAATTTCTGGCAGTTCCTTGTTAATGTACTGCTGCAACCATTCTTGAATTATTTTCAGCAAAATTTTACTTCTGTGTGATAGTAATGATGTTGTTCAATAATTTCCATGTTCTTTTGGATCACCTTTCTTTGGAATGGGCACAAATATGGATCTCTTTCAGTCGGTTGTCCAATTAGCTGTTTTCCAAATGTCTTGGCATAACAAGTGAGGGCTTGCATCAGTTTGTTGAAACATGTCAATGGGCATTTGGTCAATTCCTGGAGACTTGTTTTTTGCCAATGCCTTCTGTGCAGCTTGGGTTTCTTCTTTCAATGCCATTGGTTCTTGATCATTTGCTCTCTCTCAAAATGGTTGGACATCTATTCTTCTTCTTCTTTTTCCTTTTTAATATAGAACAAAATACTTTATTATGCTTTGCAGAAAAAGCAGAATACACGCTTATATCTATTTTCTATAGATATAATTTTGTGGGTTTTTTTATTATATTATTATATCTATTTTCTATAGATATAATTTTGTGGTTTTTTTTTAACATGTTTGCTGTTACTGATAGTGCAGTATTGTGTATGCAATAATATTTGTCTTTATTGTCTGTACCTGTTGTGAACCTCTCCATGTCTTCCTTTTCCTTAGTGATATTGTGCTAGTCACATGCTTTTGTTATATTGCTTTATCCTTCACCCATATCAAACCTGTCTCTTAACTACCCATCTATTCCCTGTGCCCCCAATCCCCTCCCCTCCCATCCCAGACCAATTATTTGGTACAGTGAGTGTGTATTCTTTCCATCTTCTTTTGATGCTTCCTACATCATTCAGTATTTTGCCTCTAGACTCCTTCAATACTGCAGCTCGAGACTTGATTTTTTTTTCTTCAAACCTTTCAACGTGAGAAATGCTGAGCATGTTCTTTTCCTTTGGTTTTCTAACTTTAGGTCTTTGCACATTTCATTATAGTACTTTATTTTGTTTTTTTAGAGCCACCCCTTGAAATCTTCCATTCAGGTCTTTTATTTCGGCATTTGTTCTGCTCATTTTAGCTACTCTCCATTCCAGAGTTTCAGAGTCTCTTCTGACATCTATTTTGGTCTTTTCTTCCTTCCCTGTCTTTTTAATGACCTTCATGTATCATAACCTTGATGTCGTCCCATAATTCATCTAATCTTTGGTCACTGGTGTTTAATGAGTCAGCTCTATCTTTCAGATGGTCTAAATTCAGGTGGGATATACTCAAGGTTGTATTTTTGGCTCTCATGGACTTATTTCAATTTTCTTTAGCTTCAGTGTAAACTTGCATGTGATCATTTGATGGTCTGTTCCACAGTTGGCCTCTGGCCTTGTTCTGACTGACGATATTAAGCTTCTCCATCATCTCTTTCCACAGATGTAGTCAATTGATTGCTGTGTAATCCATCTGGCACAGTCCATATGTATAGTAGCTGTTTATGTTGTTGAAGAATGGTAATTGTAGTGAGTCCTTCTTCCCAGGATATCTTAGTTTGGAAGCTCTGCTGAAAACTGTCCACCATAGGTGACCCTGCTGGTATTTGAAATAACAGTGGCAT